GGCTTAGCTTGGACTCTACATGTCCCTGCGGGCATGACAGGTGTCATTCTATCTTTGTATATGTAACTAAAAGAGAATACTAGTTCAATGTAAAATTAAGAGAAAATGAATGGAATTAATTTTACGAATTGTATCGCGCTTAATTTTAACTTTTTGTATTCCGAAGTTGTTAAGTGTTAAGTTAAGTGAACCTCTAACAACAAGCACTAACATTTCATTTCCCTCGTGAGCATGATCCTACACGTCACGACGGGACGTCGAAACGTTGTGAGCATAGAAATATATTTCTTATATCTATGGTTGTGAGTTAAAAAGTTAAACTTAAACGCGATAATGCGTTAAATTAATTTTATTTTATGTGTAGTATTCGTGTAAATAATAAAAAAAACATTAAGAGCAAACGACACAGTGGGCACTTGCTTAGTTTCTCCTGAGATGTTCGAATCGAATATTGAATGCACGCAGTACGTAAATTAAAAATCATTTTTGACATTGCCTCTAAAAATTTGCTGAGGTCGTTTTGAAAAAAATCATGTAATATACAGGAAACTCAAAACAGACCTTCCTGTATATAAGCGAGGTCAGCTCAATTGTTTGGAAACGATTTTACAATTATTACATTTATTTTTATAATGATTACCTTATTTCTGATTATTTTTAAATATTTTACTGGTTAAATGTTTTTAAGGATTTATCCTTATAACCGTTTCAAAATATAAAATAAAAATGAATGTATCATTAATAAAATCAGGCGTTACTTTGCGGAAATTTAGAATATTAAAGATTTTAAAAATTTACTAACTATAATCCGCAAGTTAAAATAAAATGATGTACATATCTTATCGAGCTTTTTTTTATAATCCCGTCACCACCAATACTCAGAGAGAAAGCTAGGTAAGACACATCATTTTATTTTATCACGCGGATCTTAGCAAATTTATTTTTAAGATCTTTAAGGAATGTATCAATTTTGCTTTCAGTGTAATATGAGTGTAAGACACGTAACGTTCGATGGTTCACTTTCAAACATTCACCGGTCCATTAGCGCACAACGTACCCGCGAGCTGCGATGTAGCCGGCTCGGACAGAACGGCACACTGCACCGATCCCCCCCAACTTCCTCCACTTCCGCGTACGGCCAACGCTTGCTCTGCACCGCAGCGTGCTCACGCAATAATTGTGCCACTAGCATTTTGTATGAATTCCAACCGTAAAATTATATCATTAAATATCAAGAGTTAATAAACATCAATAAAGACCGATCCATGCCAAAACATAAAGTGGTTTTTCAAAGATACTGGCCAGAAACAAAGATAGAACAAATTCTAACAGGTTAAAAAGACAATTCAACGTCTTTTGAACCCTTGATGTTTTTAGGCGAATAATACTTTGAAACTGGTGAAAACATTGTTTTATTAGTATTTATGTATTCCAAACAGAAGAGAAAACAATATAAATATCCCGTAGTAATTAAGAATACAAAATAATAATAATAAACTTGTTGCAATTGGTATGGCCATGCGACGTAACATACAGCGCGATCGTCCTTACGTAAGAAGCGACGCCAACGGAATACGTAACGCAGCGCACGCGGTGCCGCACTACCTTATTAAATACGTGTCCGTTTGAAATAAAAAGCGAACGTTTTGCGACCTATAAATATTCAACAGACTCTCAAACTTATGTACACAGAAACAGTTACACTAAAATCGTTAGTAAAGAAAATGCCTGCAATGTGTTAAAATCAACAGATTTTCCGTGTTAGCTTGGGGACTAAGCTCTCGGGAAAAATTCCGCAATACGCAAGTAACATGGGTTCGATCTCCCCGACACCAGAAAGTATTAGTTGCAATTTCATGTGTTGATTAACTACTCGATCGGTGGTGTAGGATAATATCGGAGAAATGCCTGCACGTCTGATAAAATAAAATACTTATTAAAATATAATACAAGTTCCTTGTGGAATAGACTACCACCAGCAATTTTTGCAGACTGATACGACTTAGGGACCTTCAATAAGGGGGCCTACTCTCTGTTTTCGACATAAATTTTTTGATTACGGCACTTAAAAACTATATAAAATTGAAATTTTTAATGAAGACAGACAATGGCTTCTGAATGATCTTATAAGTGAAGAAGAGGCAAATTGTTGCCATTACAATACAGTTCAAAAAATGTATTTATATCATAGACACTCTTTTAAAAAAGGTTACCTAAAGATTCCTTGGTGTTGCAGTTATTCATGGGCAATGGTAGTCCCACCGGTATGCTCGTGTGCGCCCTCTTGTATGAAAAAATAATTGTAGCATAGTAGCGTATTATTGCTCCAGAAGTGAGAGAAGACTTGTTCTAAAAAATAGGACTTATATAGGCTGTGACTATTAATTTTTAACTTTAATACTCTTAAAAGACACAAAAGACAAACGAGTACGAACGAATAATTACTGTTTGCATATTATCTATTTTTTTTTAGTTAATAGAATAACAAACAAGTTCTAGTTAGTTGCCCACAGCCAACGGGCAAACGGCACGTTGTAACCTCTGTTTTACCAAGTCACTCTTTTACCCTTCAAACCGGATTACGTAGTTAGTGAATGGTAACTACCCAAATAGCATATTGTAATTATGCTAATCACTACGTTAATGCCCTCCTGGTATATTATAATGTAGACCTAAAGATTTCGATAAACTACAACTTTTCAATACCAATGACGTGGTTCACCTTATAAAATTGCAACAGAACTTTGATTCAGTTAGGACTCTAACACATTATCGAACTCTTATTAAATAAACTCATTGATTTTTTTTATTACTAAAAATTACTTTGTGTGAAAGGTTTTAAAGTAGCAAGCTCATACGTTTTATCGAAGTGTAAGCCCCCTCCCCTCACCTAGATGGTGTGGTGCTGCTGATACCGGCAGAAATAAGTAAAAAGGGTGGTAACTACCCAGACGAGCCCCTTATAGAAAATTCATCACCTAGTACCTATATCGTATCAGATATGTCTGTCTCTAATATCAAAATAACTGCCTTTTCGGTGGACTATTTATTGCTCAGGGGGTTATTTACATATCATTAAGACATGAATAGTCATTTATAAATATTGTCAGTCTTTCTATCCCTACAGGCATTAGCCCAGACAGACAGACAAACATACAGACAGACCGAATATTAATTTGGAATAGTTGAATCGATTGTGATGAAACTTAACGAACAGATAGAAAGCAATGCTAAGAATTATCTAGGATATATTTGATCCGAAAACCTTGCAGTAGGTTTTTTTGTAAAATTTATAAACTCAATGATGATTATTTTTAAAAAAATGACGTCACGTTTCTTAAAAGATCCCACCTAGGCAATGCTGTGGCGGGTCGCTTTTGATTTCCGTTTGCTTTAATCTTAAAAGTAAAACTGTAGCAGTGTGTGACTGCCCTTACTAGCTGTTTGCAACAATCAATTAAATGTCTGTATTGAAACGGCGTACGTTTCTTTTTTACATTATTTTTAAAAGTTTGTGTAGCAATAATCTAGATCGCTATCAGACGCCTTGATTTTTTGCGCGTTCCTTATTGGTTGGCTGGTAACCTTGTAAAGTCATATCATTACACTTTTAAAATATGCAATAACATTGAGCTGGAGCGTGTATGCTTAATAGCTAATGAAAACCCAAAGAACTTATATACTTTTAAACACGGTGATCTTGACGTTTTTTGCGATTCGTTTCATGTATTAATGAATTTGTGATATTTATAAACACCTAACTTTAAACTGGCGACCTCCCGGCTTCTCTAGGATAGAATTTATTATTGTAACATAATTTAGTTTAAAATAATTAAAGACCATTTATGTTACCAATTTTTTATTTTTACAAAAAAAACAATTACGTTTTCTGGAGAAAATATAACCTAATTCCCTCATGACGTTGCTCTCTGTATGTTCGTCACATTTCATTTTGATCGACTCAGCCATTCCGGAGAGCAGTCCGGACAGACAGACAGTCGTACAAAATTTTTAAAAGTATTCATATCTTAATGGTCCAATAAAAGGCAATCATTAAGGTGTTACAAACAAATACTTATACCAACGTAAAATAGTAGCTTAATGCTGCTGTGTTTCGTATGGTGAGTGTAGAGAACCGGAGACCCTTTCTACTGGAAACGAGGCATCTATCTCAATCCTCAGGGCTGGGAACGCATCTGTATTTTGATTCTTAATTGAAGATAAATGTAGATGTCTGTGAGCCACAGCATCCACTTATCATCAGGTGGACTATGTGCTCGTTTGTCACCCTTAACTATAAAGAAAACTTTTTTACATGTGCGAGCATCTGTGTTGTCTTAAATACTGACAAAACCGCTTGTTTACTACTGACACCTTAAAAAATATTTGACTTTTCAAAAGTAAGAAGGTTAACTACTTCATACTACAAATCAAATAAAAGTGTGCCCTTGCTTTATAAATATCCTGTTTGTGTAAATAAATTCACAGACGGCGAAGTTAATATCGCTTGCTGCGAACCTAACATGAAGTGTAACACATCTCTACTCTTTTATACAGGGCAGAGCAATGCTGCAGTTATGTTATGGTTGTAGCGTAAATGGGTCCGAGTAAGACCATTCTCTCACAGAATACCAGCGTTAAATAGCAGCTTTATGTAGCTGTGTTTCGTATGGTAAATATAGAGAACCGCAAAACCGTTTTACTGGAAACGAGGTATTGCATCCCAGTCCTCAGAGGTGACAAGGCATTTGCATTTTGCATTTTGATTCTTAATCGAGGACAAATATAGTTCTCATGGGCCACAGCACCCACTTACCATCAGGAGGGCTGTGTGCTCGTTAGTCACTCTATCTCTATAAAACATAAAACTCTGCCTACAGATCCTGCGTTACAGACTCAACAACATTTGCTTCATTGCAATTCTTGTCATTTCATTCATTGTCTAGGTACGTATCATAGTAACAGAGAATATTAGTAATAATTTTATGTTCTATTAACAGGTGCCAAAGAAAGATCGAGACCAGAAATACTAACAACAAGACTTGAGAAGATAGTACAGTGATAGAAACATAATGAGAAGCCCGGTGTACATACTGGCGCTTTGCGCAGCGCTAACAGCGGCCGCCCCCGCGCCAGGCCCCGACCCCGCCCCCGCCCCCGCCGCCAACCCCGCACCTTCTGCCGACGACAAGCCCGAGATCATCGAGATCATTGCACCAGCAGCCAGTGCGCAAGTAAGTCTTCAACGTTGAATCAAGCTAATTTTTCGAAGATCATCGCGTTTAACTAGACCCGACTATACAGCCTATCAAAAGCCCACCGCTGAACATAGGTCTCCCATATGTTGCCTAACAAGGAGGTTTGTGCAACAGTCGCCACGCTGATAGGCGGTGGCAGCCATATTATTATTACTTTGAGTTATTATTGGGAAGATACTTCTGCCCATCTCCTGCTTCAGTTTCTCAGTCGCTCTTTAAGACGCCCACGAGATGAAATGGGGTCGTGCAATCTCTTACGCTATTACTACAAAGCGTTTGCATCCCTTGACCACATTATTACCTAAGTAATTCATTCACATACCCCAGTGGGACGATATTACTTAATATTTTCATATTTTGGTACTAAATTAATCGCTTTTGACTTTTTGAATAACAACTATAATTTTTGCTATTCTCGTGTCAGTTCAGCTCGAATTTTTTGACACAATGCTTGCCTAAGCAACGTGCCGCAGTCAATGTTAATTACTATGCAGCCTAAGGTACCTATTACCTAAACCACCACCGCACCAGTTGTTATTGATTTTCTATTATCGTTAACTTTGTAGTGGCGATGTAATGACATCCACTATCCTATATCGTCCCGTGAGTGTCGAAAGAAGCGACAGAGAGTAATAAAGTAGGAAATGGGCAGCAGCGTGTTCAAAATAACAACAAGAATAACTTGGATTGCCAAGCCTGCCAAGTGTGGCAACTATGGCAAAATCCCTATATGAGGCAATCTATGGGCCTATGTTCAGCAGTGGACTTTGACGGACTGTAGTAATCGTTGACTATACTCAAACTAGATTTGATCGTGGCATAACATTACTGGTTGCTCGACTTCTATAATACTAACTAAAATATTTTGTCGCTGTCATGAACGTGAATTATGTATCATAATCATGAATGTATAATGTCGTTCCATCTGTTTGCCCTTATGTGTTGTATGTTACAACTTGTAGAACTTTTGATCAAACCGAAGAGTATTCTTGGAGTTTATTTTATCGATATACGAGTAGATCCTAATTTCAACTAAAAAGAATTACAAATATGTTTGTTTTTTTGTAGACGGCACAGTAAAATATGGCCACCTTTGGTGCCTGTTTTATTTCAAAATATCCAAATTAAAGCCAAAAAAAAAATAAAACTTACTTGAAAAATATAACCTTCGTTTTTTTAAAAAAAATCCATAACCATTTCGATTTAAATTACACATAGCATCATTCGGTAAATTTTTTATAAGTTTTTTACATCAATTGTCGGTACATGTCACGGCTCAACGAGGTGCACAAATATACAATTTGCATGTCTATACATGTAAATGAATCTTCGACAAAATAATGAGCACTGTTGGGTATTATTGCGATTCATAGCTGTGAGAAGTAATGTTGCCAAACAGCGATAATACTTCATTGTTTAAATGCAATATAACTATGAACTAAGATATAAACCAGCAGGGTCCTTGAAGCCTTTTGATCGGTCATCATTAAATGCATATAAGCAATAGTTTTGCCAGTCATATTTATAATTTAATATGAACTTTATTAGGAGTCTCATACTACAATTTTATAGGTAAGCGAAACTACTATAATGTATTAAAGACTAAGTTTAGCATGAAGTTATTCATAAATTCTCAAATCAACAAAAAAAAGTCTTTAAAAATAAAATATTAATATAAAACATACTCAAAGGTTTTTTTTTTAATTTTCTCATCAACCCCTATAATATTTTACATTTAAAACTTAATTTAAGATTAAAACGTTGGCAACTCTAATAGAAAATTACAAGGATCTTTATATTTTTCGCATGTTAACTTTTATACGTACATAAGTAATTCTCTTTTCAAATTTTGTGCAATATTTTTAATAAATACCACTATACTATTCCACCTCTCATCAAAAGTCATCCTCGACACTTTGCCCATTATTTGATAATCATATGGTCGTAATCTTATCCAGTGTTTCTTGGAATATCTGACTCACGTTTCCTGCGCAATTCCATTTGAGTTTTTGTTTCTGTTTTGCCCACTCCCGTTCTTAAACACAGTGTGATGTTTCCCACTCTGCCTATTCCCTTATATAATAAAATATTATGGTACCATTTTTTTTTGATGTAATAATAGCTATGAGACCTTTTACACATACTAAAACGACCAAAAAATATAAGACGCGCTACATTTTAAGATACCTAATGTTATAATTTTGATATTCTTTTAAAAATGTGTAAAAATACTTCATAGTGGATTGGCTATATAATATTTTAGTTATTAGAGTTACGCCTAACATGGCTATTTTCAGGTAATATTAATGTTATTTAAAAGTAAATAATAGCCTTACTTAGCTCACAAAGTAATTTAGTTTTTTTAATTTACAGGAAACCCTCTCGACCTTGAACCTGGGTGCTCCCGGTTCTGAACTCAGTGAACGTAACAAACGCACCATCGGCATCCTCCGTCAGCTGTTCCCCACTCTTACTCAGGTAACGAATGCATCTTAATCCATAATAAGCCCGCTTCCTGACTTGTCAGTGCCGTATTGTTTACTCGGTACGCCCTGTAGTGATTCGGTACAGATTCTATATTTAGCACCTTTACTTCAATGAGTGCTTCCTGACTTCCACGTTAAGTGCGCAAGCGTGGCGAAAAAGGACCTGCATACTGCGTCGCAGCAGTACGAAATGTGTATATTTTGTTTTTGTGCATGATATCGTTACCTATAATTGAAGCGACACTTAGTTTGAACTTGTTTGTTAGAATTTCTGTACTTTGTTTTAAGTGTACACTATGTTCGTGATTCGATAAATAAATCGATAAAAAAATTACTGTATGTGTAATATTTTAACCATGGAGTTCGAACCTTTTGAGACTTGAATCTTTGCTTTTGTACTGTACAGTAAGTTCGTACAGATCTGAACAATTTAACTCGAAATAATTTATTAGTGGTTGTGACACTAGTAACGTGAAATCGTTTGTTTTCTTCAGATGTTAATATCATTACACAAAATCCTTATATTACAAAATTCTAAACATACTTCTATGAAAGTTTACTTTAAAAATCATATACCTACGATGTAATCGCATAGTTTTTAGTAATATCTATTCAAAGCCATGTGATACATTCTCTTAAAATATCGATAAGTAGCAAAATATCGAGTTTTTGTAATGTACATGCAGCGGATGTACCAATTCTCTATTAGACTTTTGACTGTTATCTACTCGTACGTTGAACAAAAAAATTCCCCTTAACCGGTCCTCGATACGATCCCTTTGCTTTTAGTAAATTCATCTTATTTCGCAGTTTGAGGTAGCTCTGCTGGAAATTCGTGCCGCTATCCGTGTTGCGTACAATTGCATTCCAAGCGCGGAAAATTAAAAGTCGACCAAAATTTATCAGTTTTAAGGTAGTAAATGATTTGTTTGTGAAAAACTGTACAAAAGTTTATTAATTGTTAGTTCTCTTTTTTTAAAATTATTATTTTTAGCTAACAACAAAGACAAGGCCTACGGTGCCGTTTATTATCTTAAATCCACTACTGCTAAGAGGATATTTCTATCAATATGAATCCATTGTGAATATCTGTGCACCGGCGGTCAGCGACGTCACGTTGCGAAGAACATCAGTGACATAATGATTTGACAACAGAACTGTAAGGGTGACGGGCGGGGAGGGACACACTATATTTCCAAAATGTTGCAATTATGCCGATTGATTTTAAGCATTGTATTTTCCAGGATGACATGTCCTAAGCTATTTATGTTGACAAAATCTTGAGAGCGATATATGTTCTAGATAATCGAACAAAAAGTACAGCAAATCACCAGCGCGGTACTGCGGGCGTTTGGACCGCTGTTCCTGCGCCTTTTCCTAGGGGGAAACCGCAGCCAGGGCAGGATGAACGGTGGCACTGTGGAACTAGAAGACGATGACGACGACGATGACGACGATGACGATGAAGATGCATCCACGACTAACACGACGGAGTCTTCAGCGCGGCGCAAACGCGCTCTCTACTTCCTGCCGGTATGAGGTCGCATGACGTCACATTCAGCCTGCCAAGGGACGGCAGCGCGGGCGCGCGCAGACCGCGCGCCATTTCCATCGCCATCGTCACCGTCACGGTCACCGTCACCCATCGCATCGTCGCCTCCCATCCCATAATCATGCCCCCACTTTAATAAACAATGATTAACCTATAAGATTTTTCGCAGAACGCGATCGCCGAAGACAATTTGCTCTCTGGCGCTGAGTCGCAACAAGCCGAGGTACGCGTCGCTTTTGGTGAAGGAGAACAAAAGCAGGAGCAAGCAGCGGAAACCAAGGATGACCAGCAGACCGCCGCGCAAACGAACTCTGCCTCCATAGACGAGATCACACTTGACGACGCTGATGACAGTGAGGAGAACAGGAACAAAAGGTAAAATCCGCCTTATAGTTGGTCGATATGCCTACTTTAGTTTTTATTAGTTTAGTTTTTTATTATATAAATATAGTAATAGGTTTTATTACGTTAACTCGCTAGGGGATTAATAATAATAAATAATAATAAGTATTTATTTTAATATAATAATTAATAATAAATAATTAATAAATAATAGTCTTGAGAGCCGTGGTAGCTCAGATGGTTAGCGCTCGCTATAAATTTCACAATACGCGAGCAAACCGTATTCGATCCCCGCCGGCACCAATGAAATTGTTAATTGCAATTTTAAGTGCTGATTTACCACGTGCTCGGCGGTGAAGGAAAACATCGTGAGGAAACCTGCATGTTTAAGGAATAAGATAAAAAATATTTCTAAGACATGTGAAGTTCGCCAACACGCATTGGGGCAGCGCGGCGGACTATTCCTTGCCCTAAAACTCTCTCAGAAATGAGAGGAGGCCTGTGCCCAGCAGTGGTACGTATATAGGCTGTAACTTTACTTTACTTTACTTTAATAGTCTTGTGTGACCGTGTAAGCGACTGAGGGAAATGACACAGGAGAAGGGCAGTAGTATCGTACTGATAACTCCACAAAATGATAAAAAACTGCAGTTGCCAATCCGACCACCCCGCTGCGCAACAACGCTGTGCTACAGCAAACGTGCCCCCTGTAAAACGATCTCCAGGCGAGCTTCTGACAGGCTGCAGCAGTAACGCTAATAGTCTTGTCTGTGATACAAATACAACAGCTTTAATTAGATTGTCACTAAAATCTTGTTGTTTGATACTTCAATCAAATTAAGTAAATTATTTATTGATTTCCAGATTCCTGAGCTTTGGTGACTCTCATGGGTCCTCTGGTGGTGGATCCGGAAACTTCTTATTTGACATCGTGAGAGTATGTATACACGTCTACTTGTATTTTTTTTCGAATATTCTCTTATCTCGCTACCTCCTCTTAGCCTTCACATCTCTCTTTATATTTAATATCCCTTATAATACATCCAATTTAAACTCATATAAATATACATCGTGCTGGAATAGCTGACTACTTTTAAATATGTAATCACTCTTCTTCTTTAATACTAGGGTAAAAACAGTAAATCTAATTTAAAAAATAAAAAAGTCTTCAAATGAGATTAACAAAAGTTAGATTTAAAAAAGGCTACAGTGTACTAAAACTTACTGATCAAATAATATCAGTGGGTAATCGTTCCGATTTTAAAAGAAACATGGTTTACGAGCAGCAGGCTTATGAGTGAGACAGAGTTATATGGATCAAGGCTTGGTGCGAATGAGAAGGAATGATGTTACAGCGGCCAGCAGAAGCGATGGCGCGAGCAGCTGGATCCGCTTTCCGTCTGTTCGCTGGAACCGACTCTCTCAACGTAGGCTTCACAGCCTCCCACTCTGCCACCCTGGACCCCAACAATCCACAAGTACACACCATCATAGTGCACCAACGTAGCCGCTCACACACTCCGTAGATTTGCAGTATGACCGATATTCGACTGCCGTTATGTTGTCCAATATTCTGCTTGACTGTTTTTGTTTTAGTCACAGATGCATTCTCAACACCCTCATCTTTAAATCCTTATCCCATTCTCATGCTTCAGTTTCTATATTTCGTAACTAACTGTAATGTTATGTAATATTGGTACCTTTTTTCACTCTAACATACTTAGTTTAATTGTTAGTGTAACATAATTTGGTTTATAATAAATAGCATTCAATAGTAGTTTGTATAATTATGATAAAACAATAACACGAGTAGAATTGTGAATTAGTTTTAGCGTAAATGTAGAAGAAACTTGGTCTAAATTTTAGTCAAACTACTTAATGATGGCTTTCTTGCATAATGAGGGCTAATAATCTTCCGTTCACCAGACGTCGTAAAGTTGGAGTGAGGTGAAGTTTTTGTTACATCATGTCGTACCACTGAAAAATTGTTTTAAAGTTTATCGGTTTCTAGTGCATTATATTTATACATAAAACATGCTCAGTGGTTATTTCCCCAATTTTTTTCAATTTTTTTAACTCTTTTATTTAATGTTTTTTTTTTACTTTTAGATATATTCGTGGTTTGGTTTCTTCATTTCTTATCTTATTAATATAAAATATGACATATTACAGAAAGAACCGTTAATCCTAACATTTCCCTTACAAATTAATTCCTTTGCCATGTAATCTGTCAAATATTTCACCTCATTCTATAGTCGTGCCGCCCTGATGGCAAAAAAGTCGTGGACGCCCAAATTTATCATTTATTGTGGTTTCCAGTTGGTAGCTGGTTCATCCTCCGGTGCATCGGGTGAGGCGACTGTGTCGGAAGGTGAGGAGGGCCACGCACATGGCGACAACCTGACAGAAGGCGTTCCTGGACCAGTTACGCGGCTGTTCATCATTGCCAACCGTGGAATCGCCAATCTTATTCAGGATCTGATTCTGCGTATCGCACAGACCTCCGAAAGATTAGTCAACTTCAAGGCGCGACTCATTACTTCTATCATTTAAAGTGTGAGCGCCTAGAGCAATATCGAGAGGCTTGCATCGCATCGGTGCATGCGAGGAAACCCCCAGACATACCCAATAGTTTTTCAGATTACACTATTTTTGTAAAATCTATTTTTTTCCGACTCTTCAATTTTTAACTTAATCAAAATGTCTATTGGTTACCTCGTCTGTGAACAAGCGGTATTAGGTCAATAAAACCTTGAACCTCGTTTGCAGTCTTTTGGTTCTTTTGGGTTTAGATTGGAATCGAGGTTCAAGAATAATTTCACGGCCCAAGAATAACTGCGGCGAACACTCTCAATACTCGACTGATCACGAGAAGTCAGTTCTGGTTCCACAGCGAGTGTGAGCTTTCTGTATCTTTAGGAATACTAACTCAAGCACTTGTTGAAGTTGCGTAAACGTCACGAGGCTTACTATTATTTAAAATGCAACTTTAACAGTACAAATTTAATTTCTTTTCTTTAATAAATGTTATAAATAGAGTTATTTATTAAGTCAGAGCTAAATATCCTGCATAGTATCTTAGTAGAAGGCTGCATTCGTCGTCCAGACAGTAATCCAACACATACTTGTGATCACTTAGGTAGGGAGTGCGCGCCGCCGAGCTCTCGAGTCTCCTAGTTAGTATAGGTGTAGATTGTAGGCTTGCTCAACAGTTTTTATATTGCGCCGTTTTCAATTCGTTTTTACGTTTGTAAATATGTATTATAGCGGAATTTGTGTAAAATAAATGAATAGTACCTAGTTACATCGTCTTTATTTTCGAACGCCTTATATTGGTAAAAACGCAAAATAAAACATTTTTATTGGAACACAAGTCAACAGTCTTTCAAAATGTTACTAAAATAATTACAATTTTGTAATGGTCCTTTGTAGAAAAAAAATATTTTATATTATTTTTTACGTCCTAATGTAAAAATAGATCTTAAGTATTTGAATGTCATGTTCATTATTAAATACAAACTTTTTTAATAATTGTTTTAATGTAAATCATTTCAACATAACCAAATTTGAGTCTGCACCAACATTCTTACATTAGCAGGTTTCTAGAAGGATCAAGTTAGCGTATGGTTTACCTGATAGTAACCCAATGCCATGAACATCATCATCATGACAAATCTTCTCAAATCCACCGCTGAATATAAGCTTTTCCCAAGAAATTCCACAAAACACTGATCTGAGCCACTTGTGTGCATCGACACACAAGCTAAGTCACCATCACCATCTAGTGGGAGACCGCCCTACACTTCTTTTCCCGGCACGTGGCTACCAGTCACGAACCTTTCTTCCCCATTGATTATCGATTTTGGAGCTATATGGCCGGCCCATTGCCACTTCAGCTTATACCCATATTTTGCTGTACATAATATTATTATATGTTAACAAAAAGCATGAAATCAAATATATCTAAACAAAAATTATTTTTTTACCAAACTCTTTTATTATTAATAGGTGAGTAGATACAATGTTAATAAGTACAATAACAATATCTAGCGAACTCATTCATTTTATAACATTTTACCGAAAAGATACTCTATCTAATTTTAATCTCAAAAATCTAGTTTTACAATAATACATTTTTGAAATTACTAACAATAAACTTATGAGTAGTTGATTAAAAAAGAATCAACAAGCTTAGCTATGCAACCCATATAACACCGGCGACGTGACTGGGTAGTTCGGACCGCGGTGCGGATTGAACCCATACTTGCTCCAGAACCTGTCCCAACATAGGAACCCTGAAGTTGTGATGATAAAGTTAACGGCTTTAAGCCCCTGTGTAGTCCATCTGGCTTATAGACAAGCAATGATCGCAAAATGCGGAAACGGCGCATTGCTCAATATTAAAATAAGTTTCAGTTGCTATCTAATATACCTCTTTAATGAGGTTGTTCTGAGGTATAATCTTTCTGTGTTCTGTTCATATTATACCAATAAACAGGATGATGTTTTTGCCGTAAGCCTTAATTAAAAATTCCTTTGGACACTACTTACACCTAAATTTTGAAATACATAGCACAGACTAACAAGTATCTAAACTGCCAAATTGTAAACATGAATTGAAACACACTGACATTTTGTTTTTTAAATCTACACAAAGAACGCCTAAAAAGTATCGATGCGTTAATTAAAACTATATTTACCATAGAAGTCGTATAGTATAGACTGGCGATGGGTGATAAAGATGAGACCAAAATCAAAATACACCAGTGTGCATGTAATGTGCATGTGTGGGTAACAAATATTGCTGCATCATGCATTGCCTATCTCAACTTCAATTATCGAGACCGATTGTAGTATATTCGTTTCTTCCGATTTGACGCAGATGATGTGAAGTGAATATTATTTACCCAACTACGGCAAAGCCAAAAGGATGGTTAAAATTTTAGAAAGCTATGTATGGATGGATGGTTCATCGGTTCCCTCAAGTCTTCTAAGCATCTTATATCGACAAATTAATATATTTAAAAGTTTTGTGCTCTTTTAAGCTACATGAAATCACATAAAAACTAACATGTCAGCTTATTGCGGACTTAAAATAAAAACTTGAGATACATACAATATAAAAAAAAATGTGCGTGTTATTATGTGTATATAAATTAAACGTTAATACCTAAAACCAAACTGCGATACTAAACGTGTACTAAAAAGTTATTAAACAAGACTACGATGTCAATTTTTCAGAATACTTCAAAGAGAACCAATTTATTGTAAACATTTTGTAAGCTTTTTGCATTTTCGCTATCTACTTTATTTCAATAATAAAATAAGTTTCAATATGTAATTTTATTAATAAGTGTTGGCTACGCGGAGCAATGTTCCCTCATCAGTTAGTTTCTGAACAGAACAGAAAGTTTTGTTACGCGCTCAAGTCGACGATACACTAGCGCCATCTAGTGTCAGGAACGAGAGCGAGGGGAGCATTGAGAAAATGACATCACAAATCACTCAACCGACAGCGCCTAGTCGAAACTCGAACCCTCGGTACCTTGCGCGTGTTTACTTGAACATTCTGGATATTTCTTTGCTAATTTAAATATATAGGCGCTGCAAGATGCGATCGAGGCAGTGTTGATTTGGCGAGAAAAGCGAAGCTTCGGAGCGGAATAAAGTGAATTAGTGTGTTTAATTATTAGTGTTTTTAACTTTAATTTGTGTAAAGTAAATTAAAGTGTTAATTTAGGTAATTTTATCGGCAATTTTTATTGTCACGAACCTCAAGCTCGTAACAACTGGTGTCAGAAGTGGGATAAAATAATGCCGATTTTACCTAAGGAGGAAACGGAGGGTGTCCGTACCCGAAGTCAACGCCAGCAGGAGACGGACCAACGAAGATTTGGTGGTGCAACGCCGCAGACGTCGGAGGGCCAGCGACCGGCAACGGAGGCCGGTCCGTCAGTAGCTCCTGCATCTGCAGCACCTGATTTGGGCGCCCTGATGGTGATGCTGCAGGAGCAGGCCCGCCGACAGGAGGAACAGGCTCGTCGGTTCGAAGAGCAGCTGAAGTGCGGACAGGAGGAACAGGCCAGTCAGTTGAAAGAGCAGCAGGAGGAATATGCCCGCCGATACGAGGAACAGGCCCGCCAACAGGAGGAACAGATGCTCCTCAAGAAGGACCTTCACGCTACCTTCGGGAAGGAGATAAAGGAGGTGAAGGATAGGGTTGCTCACCATGACAACCGCCTGTCGGAAGCTGAAAACCGAATCGAGAAAGCTGAAACCCGAATCGACCAAGTAAACAATCGGGTTGACAACGTAATGGCTGACATGAAGAAATCACTGGACGAACTCAAACTTGGAGATGGAGCTACAGCTCCCGTAGTAGCTACAACACCTTCTACGTGGGTTCAAGGTGCCACCGTTCGACGGTACCTCTTCCTGGTCAGTCTACAAAATCCAGTTCGAGGCTGTTATGAAGGCGAACGGCTGGAATAAAAGTCAGGCCATGACTGCTCTCACACTAGGCCTGCGCGACCAGGCCTTAACAGTTCTGGAAGCTCTCGGTGAGGAAGTGACTTATGAGCAACTCCTTGAGGCATTGGAGGCGAGATATGGCGACGCTCACCTGGAACACGTCTTTCGTGCGCAGCTTAAGGATCGTGTGCAGCGCATCAACGAAAACCTGCAGGAGCAGTGGGCTCTAGAAGTGGAGAAGCTAGTGCGAAAAGCATACCGGTCTGTACCTGCGCTCATTGAAGGGAACCTGGTGCAGACATTCATCGACGGCATCCGTGACCTGGAAGTCAGAGCTGCTGTGAGGCTCGGGCACCACGAGACGCTTAAGAACGCCTTGGCCCATGCACTGGAGGTGGAAGCCGTGCGGCAGGATCGTCGTTCCCATCGCGTCAGGGAGGTTGCAGCAGCTACAGTCCGTGACCGTAGATTCAAACCAGATTTTACCAAGATATTCAGACTATAGCATTATCGTTATATGTAAGTGGTAAACACTTAACGATTCTATGTGTATACTGCCCTCCCTCGAATGGTAACTTCAGAATAAGTAAACTGCTTAATATAATTAGAGATTTGCCTAAGCCAATATACGTGGCTGGAGATTTCAACGCTCATCATGTGGCATTTGGATGTATGACCACGAAAAGTCGGGGTCATCAATTATACGATTTAATTGATGAATTTGATCTGTGTGTCCTTAACAATGGAAGCTTCACTACTATTAATTATCCTAACCGAAATCCTTCAGCTATTGATGTCAGCTTTTGTAGTGCTCCAATCACTCCACTATGCGAATGGTGGGTGCATGATGATTGTATGGGTAGCTATCATTTTCCTACGCTTACTTGTGTTTTATTGTCCATTGATAGATACCAAATTAATCCTCCCATTGAAAAATTCTTATACAACAAGACAAACTGGACGAAATACAATGAGCTGTCTATAACTGCTTTTTCTAATTTTGAAGTCAATAATGAGAATCCATTACAGTCATATGACGAATTTATCGAAAGACTTAATACACTTAAGAGGGATACTGTACCAAAGTTTGTCAAAGCAAATAATTATCGTTGCAAACATCCAGCACCTTGGTGGAGCGACATATGTGAACAGAGTGTTATTAAAACTTATGAAGCTTTAAAACTGTACAGAAGGGATCCAACCATTGATAATTATATTAATTACAAAAGACTTAATGCTGTTAAGAAAAAGATTATTTCAGAACATAAACGCAATGGTTGGGTGAACTTCTGTAATACTTTTAACAGAACTACACCTGTTAATATTATTTGGAAATACATCAAGTTATTTAAACGAATAAAATGTAATAATAGAACATATAAAGATGAATTTGTTGTCCCTCTCTTAGAAAAATTATCTCAAAATGGATGTAGGGTTATTGATAATCTAGAAAGTTATTTTCAAATTAATAATAGCCTTCAGAACCCTTTACTTGGAGTGAGTTTTGTACAAGTTTACAATCCAGACGAAACACAACCCCTGGTTTAGATGATTGTCCATACATTTTGATTAAAAACCTAAATCAGTCCGTTCAAAAAAAAACTATTAGCTAATCTTAATGCTCTTTGGCACTTAAAAAAAATTCCTGAATCTTGGAAAACACAGTGTGTAATCCCTCTACTTAAGCCTGACAAGCCACCTGAGGATCCTAATTCGTATCGTCCCATATCATTGTCATCTTGTATTGGAAAGCTTAATGAAAACATGATAAAGATGCGTCTTGAGTATTATGTAGAGGCGAACAACATCATTCCACATGTTCAATATGGCTTCCGGAGAGGGCGAAGTTGTGCTGACAGCTTCATCTCTCTCTTGTCAGATCTGAAATATGCCAATAATAATAATAAGTCCAGTGTTTGTGTTTTTCTGGATGTTCAAGGTGCATTTGATAATGTTGACCCTGGCATTTTGGTTCAAGTTCTTTCTGACATTGGTATACCAGGCATGCTTTGTCATTGGTTATTTAATTTTTTAACAGATAGAACTTTGTATATAAGATATAATAATATTCTCCATGGTCCCAGAAAGGTCTCCAAAGGTACAATGCAGGGGGCTACATTATCTCCATTGCTGTACAATATATATACTAGTCAAATTCTTAATTTTGTAAATATAGAAGGTGTAAATATTCTACAATTTGCGGATGATCTTGTAATATATTGTACAGACCATAATATAGATAGAGCTGTAAATAATATAAATAATGCTTTAGACCAATTGTACATATATTATAATGACAGGTTGGCTCTAAAGATTAACCCCAACAAAAGAAGGATTTTTAGTAAAGATTTCCCCTCTAATGGCATACTCTACAATAATCATCCAATTTCAGTTGTACCTAACCATAAATTCTTGGGTGTTGTCATTGATAACAAACTTTGTTTTGATTTACATATCAATCACATTATAACTCTCTTAAGGGTTTAAATATTATAAGATGTTTAGCTGGTGTGACTTGGGGTGCAGACCCCAAAGTTTTAAGTATGCTGTATAAATCTATAGTCAGAAGCCACTTCGACTACAGTTGTTTAGCCTACACAAATAGTAGTAGTGTAAAAAACTAGACATAATTCAAAACAAAGCTCTGCGAATTATTACTGGGGCTATGTGTTCAACTCCCATACGAGCTATGGAAGTTGAAACCAAAATAATGCCACTGTGTCTCAGAAGACTTCTACTAATAGAGAGATACTTACTAAAGCTGTTATCTGGTAATGATAATGTTCTCAAAAAAATAATACCTTTTCCTGTACAATCCTCGGCACAGCAGACTTCAGGAGGTGAGCTTTTATGAGGTTATTTCCCAGTATTGCCTCTCATTGTACTACAAATGAATGAAGATTTTAAAAATGTAATTAAAAAATCAAAGTGGACATGCTACTCTTACCCATATTCCTGTATTATATTTGAGACCAATATTGTTACTAAAAAAATTTTTAATAACTGTGAATTATTAAGTTTTCTTTCCGATAATAACTACTATACTTTGTATACAGATGGTAGCAAAAGTGAGCTCTTTGTGCGCAGTGCTGTCTATGATCCCCAATCCAAGATTGGTCAAAGTTTTCTTTTGGATCCTAAATGCAGTGTTTTTACTGCAGAGGTATATGCGGCCCTCGAGGCCCTGAAGAGGATCGCACATATAAATAGTTTTAATAATTTTTTAATTTTAACAGACAGTTTAAGTATGGTCCAAAGTTTAACCAATCTCAGATTTGACTTTAAAAAAAACTATATTTTGTATAATCTTAAAAAGTTGTTATTTAGTTATGCACAAAAGGGTATACAGGTCTCTTTCATGTGGATTCCATCACATAGGGGCATAACAGGAAATGAGATAGTAGATAAAATTGCACGTGATGGAACCAACATGTTGGATGTTAGCTCCATAGTAAAAGTACCTTTGACCGACTGTTATGAATCTATTGACAACCAGGTCAATAGCTTATGGGTCGAATTTTGGAAACAAGACCAAGAACAAAAGGGTAAATGGTATGGAAATGTTCAAGAAAATCTGCCTGTAACACCATGGTATAACAAACTGAAAATGACCAGTCGGGACTTTATTACGACTATAAACAGACTGCGTTTTGGTCACTCCACCGTCCCGGCCCACCTGGCTCGGTTGGGCATAATGGAGAGCAGCTACTACACCTACTGTAATAATTCTGTTGGTGATATCGAACATTTCATATTTATATGTGTGCTTTTCATTTGACAGATTGATTCTTGTCACCTTGTCAGTGAAATAAGCATTGAGTTATAATGTACTACGTACTAGAGAAGCTATTCCAAACAAAAATTGTGCGCTACTTCTATGTCTTCGCGCATGCGCGGTAATAGTAGAGTCGCGCATGCGCAGTTGGTATAAACGCGCTTTGCGCTTGCGCGGTCAGTTTTTGTTATTATAGATTATACGTAAGTAGAATGGTCAGTATGTAATAATTGTTTATTTATATTGTATTGTTAATTATATCGAGTACTTACAATTTTTTAAATTGTTTTTTATTTTGTATATGTGCTAATTTAATATAATATTACATAATATTATGTCAGAATTACATTTTGATGATATTGTTATCTGAATATTTTAAAAGGTATCTATGTCAAATATAAAAAAACGTACTAAATGTATATTTAACAAAACTTATTAACATAAAATTTAAATTACAAATATATTTATTTAAATTAGAATCATAAATGTTGTAAATAATCGTTCATAAATGCTGGGCACGCGAGAGTTAAAAATGGACGAATTTATTCCACTTTGACTTTGAAGTGGAAACCTAAAAATAAAATAAAAGAATAATAAGCAGATTTAAACATGAAAAATTTAGTTTAATTATAATAACTTATATGTTTATACAAAAAAAAATGTGTAGTATAATAATATATTCGTCCTAAACTTAAGTACCCACAGAAATGTCGCATCTGAACATATTAATTTCATAATCTATATTCAATGATACGAGATGGCGTCTTAGGAATAATTTGCTTTATTATTAATTTATAATACTTTTTTATTGAATAAGTATCTTATTAACCGATGAAAAGTAATTCCTTGGTTTTTACTGACATTTCTTGAATTATTTGTGCAATATCTAAGTACACAAGACGGCATATTTTTATCAAGAGATTTTTTTTAAATCAACACAACACGTGACAACTCTACAAGCGCCTAGCGAGTGACTGATTAAAGTGCAGTGCATGCACCGCAGTTGAGTGGAACAGAGTAGCTGAATGCAGTGTCTCCTCTAGTACGTAGTACATAATAGCTCAATGGAAATAAGTGACATAGTGCAAAATCAAGTGACAGTGCAAGATCCCTCCCGCCGCCTGAGTGATATGTTAAAAAATAGATCCTATTACGTACCTCTATATAAATTTATCAAAAATACAGTGGGGAAATTATAATAAACCGAATAAAAATACTCAAGACCTGGCCTAAAGGTCTAGATACCAGGCCATAAACTCCAAAAAAAAAATCACTGTCATTTTATGAACTATGAAAGTGACACTGTGTCATCCTGTCATCTCATCTGACGTTAAAGCTTAAAGGTATATTTTGATCATGGGTAAATGTAGTATTCTGTGATTTTGATGATTCTTTCGAGGTTTTTTTATAAATAATAACCCTGTGAAAAATTTTACAACTAGCGGAGCATATAAGTATTGTAACATAGAAAATGTTCATTTAAGATTTGAACAAAAAGAAAAATAAATCATGGCGCTGTATGAAGGTATTGCTCTCATACAGGAAAAACAAGCTGTCGTTTTGGATCTTGGGACCGACTACACAAAGTAAGAATTTATATCAAACTTAAAAGAAACATTGCCAGGAAACTATCATTCATTATATTGAATTTGATAGTTTTCTAGCAGATATTTGTATATAGTTAAAGTACTTATTGTTTACCAGATATAATTATTCAATGGTTACACGCGCTTTACCATCAAGTAATTTGGCATATACTTGATAGAGGGGTTTGCACATAGGAATTCATCTATACGTATACAAGTTTGGGGTCACATTGGAACTTTCATGTAAGAAAAGCGCTGGTAGGTTATCGTGTCATAGTTTTCTGAACAATGTTATTTGAAGGGTTCTTGTCTCCATAAATATTACTTGGCTCATGTTTAGATTAGCTATCCAAAGTTAGTATTTTTAATGACTTCTATTCAAAATATATAATTTTTTATATTTATTGTAAAATCTTTAGTCTCAAAAATTAAGGACAAATTCATTTCAACTTGTCTTAGTAGTGTTGATTTTAGGACGAACTTGTTTTTCTTAGGCTATACTTCTTTTTCATAAGCTAAACTTCAACCTAAAGTTGTAAACAACTAGTTAATCTTGTGGAGAAAAGTCATCAATCATGATAGCAGATATGTGCACAGTTATGTACTGTGAACATCTGGTTGATCCTGTCAGGCTTAGGAAAAACTAACTTAGTCTAAGAAAAACTAGTTTGTCCTTAAATTTGTTTATAGCTAAGTGCTTATTACGGGATATTGGTCTTGTGATTGTATAGTTTTTGGCACAATTTTCTATCTAAATCCAATATTTTTGGCAATGTGTCTGAGTAGCTCACTGCTTTTTAAAAACTACCTAACCTCTCAGTGACTTCAGGCAAGTTGCTATGACCTAAGCGTAAGAATTTTCAGCAAAGTGCAGCCTGAATAATAAAAGTGTTGCCCATACAATAGTTAGAGTGTAATGAAATTTTTTTTTTTAATTTCTTATAATATTAGAGCAATGAACATGCTAACCATTCACCTCGTTATAAGTAATACAACCTGCAGATTTGTTATTGCCTCTAAGAACTAAGACAAAATTAATGTAATAAAATCGACTCTCACACTATTTTTTACTTTTAAACAGGAACAGTGGGTTGTAGTATTGAAACATCTTTAATTTTGTTACAGATTTGGTTTTACGGGTGAAGCGGCCCCTCGTTGTATCATACGTTCAGAATACTGGTGCCCTTCCACAAGAAAATATAAAAGTGTATATGACTACAGCACACCAGAAGAACTTTATGACAATCTTGTTCATATGCTGCATTTATTATACTTTAGGTATTTATATTCATTGTTTTACTACTAACAGCTTATAAATACTCAACAGCTTTTTTTATAGGATAGGATGATAAACGAGTATGCAGTCCACCTGATAGTAAGTGGTTGCTGTGGCCCATAGACATCTATGTCTATCCTCGATTACAAATCAAAATGCAGATGCGTTGTCACCCATGAGGACTAAGATGGAATGCCTCATTTTCAGTAAAAAGGTCACTGGTTCTCTACACTCACCATACGAAACACAGCAGCATTAAGTTACTATTTTATGCTGGTGTTCTGTGACAGTGTGGTCCCCGGTCGAGCTGACCTATTCATGTTACAACTATACTACTAATATAACTGCAGGTAGAGCTATACCACTTATAACATCTGCTGGACACACAACTTTCTTTTTCGAAAAGGATTTTTGGAGCTGGTAAGAGGCCGGTGTCAGCTATAAAGCAATCCTGTTCACTCTTTCAAAAGTCCATAACTTCTCTGTGATCATCCTAGAAAAAAACCTGATTCGTACACCCCATCCCCTTTCGAAATCCAACTTGCACATCCGAATTTTTCCAATTTATTTAAAATTATTTCATAACTATTTCAATCATCACTAGCATACATTTTTCACACAATGCTAAAACAGATATACTGTGAGCCTTTTCCCTTATGTAAATTATAACAGTTTTTATAACCGATTATAACGGCTTTGCACCAATCTCGCGGTACTGGCTTTGGTTCCAAGCATAAGGCTATTCTGAGTTACCTCTGACACTTTTTACGAGTTTCCAGAACATTTTAATAATTGCCTGAAAGTGATTAGATATTCTTCTATCATTCTTATTATAGAAACAATTCTTTCTTGTTTCTTCCTTTGTACTACTTTGTTTTACTCTCATATTTTCTTCTTTTTTTTCACTTATCTGATATACAGGGGTTTCGTTAAGAGTGCTCGAATTCTAAAATAAAATAAAACAACCTGTGTAAATGATATTGCCAAAGTATGGAATATAATTTTAGCTAAATAGTCACCGTGAGTTCGTTGTAGGTGGTGTATCCTGGTGGACCAATTTAGGACAACATCTTTGCATAAATGGTACTCAATTTCATGAAGAACGCAAGTTATGTTGGCCTTCAGAGCGGCAATTGTCTGTATTTTGTCTGCATAGACCAGAGATTTCACGTAGCCCCACAAAAAGTAGCCGAGCGGTGTTAAGTCACACGATCTCGGTGCCTAATTAATGTCGCCACCATGAAGATGACGAAGCCCTCGAACTTATCATCTAATAAATTCAATTTTTTCCGGGTTGGCTATAGACATCCAGCACTTGATTTTGATAATGTTTTAATTCTAGCAGGCTTATTAAGGTTAAGCTTGAACCTATTACACTGTTTTTAGGTGTCGGATATGCGTATTGAATTAATTACGAAATGCAAATATGTCAATTTGTTCTCATATTATGAAGTAGATGTCTGGTACTTGATTTTTAATTTTGTTTTCAATTTATGAGGATTGTCAGGGTTAAGCTTGAACAGTTTACACCATTTTTGGATTTCAGAACTGTCTTTTGAATTAATTACGATAAAAATAAATTTCACTAAAAATTGCAATAACGAAACGCAAATATGTCAATTTTTTTAACACAGATAAACTCATAAAAAAGTAAATCACTCGGACCCAGACAATCCGTTTGTGGCTGGAGACGGGACTTATATACAACAAATTGAGTCGCAGTGGTAGGGGCTTTTCAAAAATTAAAATTATAACAAAATATTACATTATTTCATTTACCACTATCATAGCAGAGTTTAGGGCAACCAGACTTTATAGATAAGATTGATCGAATCTAATTAGCTTACCACGACTCCGCATAGTCTTGTCTGCCCTACCCCTAGAGTGTTTTTGTAAAGCCGTAGGCACAGAGGGAAAGCAGCCCCCGCCCGCTGTAGCATGGGTGCCTGTGATTTGCTATGCAAGGGCGAAGGGGCTGCACTTCCCGCAGTGCCGAAGCCGTTGCGGAAGTAACTTTGCATCAATATTCCTGTATAAAAAAGTGAGGTTATAATTTTACAAAAAAAAATTATTACCCATAAACTATAAATTTCCGCAACGGGGGAATGGTAGGGAGGGCTTCCCATGACCCCCTCCCCTCCCCCCTCCCACTCCCAACACCATATGCGAGTAACGGACGTCTATAGTTTACCCTTTTTTCCGTGTCCTGTGGTCGTTCGGCTTTAACACTTGAGTTAATTGAACTTTGTATAGATGAAATCCCAAGCCTCGACGCTAAATCCGCCAAGTTGATATCGCAGTAAGACGCAACTCTTGCGCTCGATGCGGAATAGATTGTCTGAAGTTTTCTCCCACACTGTGCCGAATCCCTACAATTTTATCCAATGATGTTGCGTTTCTTTGACATAAGCAATACATTTGCTTCATCGATCACTGACCCGGTTATCTCAAATTTATTAATTAAACGAGGGATTGTGGACTCTGCAGGACGGTCAAGAATGCCATAAATTGGGCAAAACAATTTCAACAGGTTGTTGATGTGTTCCATGGTGAAATATTAAGACTAAATAAGTATTCCTGTCAAATTTAACAGCTATCGCTTTACTCAGATGACAACTATACGCTGTCAATTTTCAACCGTCTCTATTGAAAAACCCTTTATAAGTAGAATAATATGTGATTTATGTTTAACATTTGAACTGATACATAAATGTGTTCTTGTAGGCATATTTTAGTCAACCCAAAGGAACGTAAAGTGGTAGTCGTGGAGTCGTTGCTAACACCAACACTATTTCGCGAGACACTTGCTAAGGTGCTCTTTATACATTATGAGGTAAGTTAAAACTTTTTATGATTTTATAATATAAATCATGAGTAACAAGTTGGCACACAATAGTTGATTAAAGAAATGTTTGTATAAACAAATTTATTTACATTTGTACACTCATCCACAATCATACCCATCAAGTGGTGCCATCATGTAACATGTAGAAAGAGTGACAATGAGAAGTCTTTTATTAGTAGGCAGTCACTAGTACTGGGAGATCTACTACTACACTGAAAAATTTTTAAGGTCATTGGCATTACACCCGAAAAAGTCGAAAGCTGCGAAGCTTTGGTGGGATCGTTAATCAAATAATAAATCTGTAACAATAGCGTCAGTAACTAGATACCAAATTATCTACATCTACCTATAGATAATAATATCATACCTTTCGGTAACCTTAGGAACAGTAAAGAATGAAAAGTTGACATATTATTGTTTTAATTTAAGCACCCAATGCTAACACTTATGAGAGAAGAATATTTTTTTTTGTTAATTAATACGGCGCGCGCTCGTGTGACAACCACACTGAATTAGCCCCTTGTAGGAGACCGCGCAGCTTAGGTATATTTTCATGCCTAAAGCGCGGAGTGACACAGGCCCGGTTTTTCTTTAGATTTTATAATAAAGTATTACAAAAAGCAGTAATTTTTTCTATTATGGGTTTGATTTTATATTTATAATTTGGCGTTATAAATAAGTGCAAATAACGAGAATCGTCATTTTTTTCCCCCGGGTTACATTTTTGCTAATGGCGCGGTAATGACGGAGGTTTGTTATTCTTGTATTATTAAATAGTCAACGAATTTAAAAATTTCATTAAGAGCTAGCGCGCACTGGTGCTTTTTGTCACCGTAACTGTTTCGTCACTCATGACAAGTCTGTAGATATATATTGACATGCGCGCATGTTACGACCAAAGATTTAAGTCGTTAGATGCACCTTCAACTTGAAAAACTGTTGCATTATTTTTGAATGTGTTACCACGGCATTTCCGTATGTTTATGTCTATTTATAGATAATCCCTTTGTAAACCGCTTCCTTGGTACATCCGAGTATCTAACTAACTTATTATCTTACGGAAATTGTGTATACTACTTTCTCTGTCGCACAGTTTCCGTTTGCCCGTGATTATCAAAAAACACGGGTAAGATCGACCCGAGTGGACGTAGTTTTGATCGCTCTTCAAATACTTATGTTTTTTTCGGTTAAAAGTTATAACTGTAATAAGTGTTACACATCAAAACATTTACTATAGTTCGTGCCAAATCGATTGATAAAAACGTGCATTGACTTTTCGGTCGTTTAACCAGGGGCTACACACCTTCAATATATAGGCACTTTTTATATGTAGTACTCTATTTATAATGATTATTAACTTTTATTAAAAAGTTATGTAAAAGATCCCTGTAGAAGAAAAATCGTCTATTGTTATAAAGTACTTTATTCATTTAACAACAAAAAGCATTAATTTATAACACATATAAAGATTCGAGTGATAACGACACCGAATAAGTACGTACTTATTCAAAAGATAAAAAAGAATAAACTTTAATTTCAATATTATATAAGAACTTTATTTTTATACGGTGCATGCGGGCCGGCCCAAAAAAGTGACGTATCTCTGGCTGCCATTGTCACGTTTCTTTTAGAACGTACTGACGTAACGCATGTTTTGTTTATTTTAAAAGGATGAATTTGCAAAAGCTCAATTAGGTGATTATATTGCTTCAAATATTTTTTTTATATGAAACTGTTATTAAATGAATTGCTGCGTTACTTACCATAAATTGAAATATAAAATATAACACATTTTTCGCGATGTACCACAGACAATATTATTTAAGAAACAAAAAAAAATATATGTGCTGACCTAGAAGTGTGATTAATATCATTATTTAAATATTGTTATCACATCTAAATTGAGATTTTGTAAGTTACGCCTTTTGACACTCTGCTCATATCTGAGATCATCGTCCGTTTTTCTCAATTGATTTGGCACGAACTATAGTCTTATAACTACACATTGTCACAATTTTCACGAATTGAAGTGTTGTTTGTCTATCACCGTTAACCAAAACAAATATTAACACAGATATTGTGCAAGTGAATCCGAGGTTGGCTTAAAAACAAAAACATTTGTTTACTTTAATATCGGCTATCGTTCGTCATAATGACCAAACGCGTGTGTGTGCGTGGGATTTAACGCGTACCAGTCACAAACTTTGTGTACTGGCAACTTATACTTAAAAAATATAAAATAATAAATAATGTCCAAAAAAACTCGAGTCATTGGGGTTGCTGCGGACGGAAAGTGATGACACTAGCTTTATAGACTGCACCCAATGTATGAATGCCTTCCATTATGCTTGCTTAATGCTTGACGAAAAATCAATCACCCAGGAAATTGTTTCTTCATGGCTTTTCCCAATTTGTGAAATTAATGTCCCGAAGAAGCACAAAAATAACAATACGCCAGCACGAAATCGCACCCAACCCCCTAAAATTGTGTTGGAACCAAATGTTACGCGCGACGATGTACGTGGTATAATATAGGAGGCTATGGAAACCAACTTTGACAGCTTGGTAACTAAATTCAATAGCATGTTGTGTTCAATAGCATGTTCAATAGCATGTGTGAAAAGGAAATAGCCGAGATAAAAACATCAATGTCATTCATGAATGACCTATAAGCAAATGCTAAGGGAGCAGGTGGAAAATAAAAAACAAATTAAGGAAATACAAGGGGAAAATGAAGGCTACAAAACCACGGTCTTGGACCTTACCACCCGAGTTACTCACCTAGAACAGCACGCTCGTACAAAAAATGTGGAGATACAATGCATTCCGGAAAAAAAAGCACGAAAACCTCATGAAAATTGTAACAACACTTGGTAAAACGATAGGCTGTGATATTGATATTCAATTCTGCACTCGCGTAAAAGAAATTAATCCAAATAGCACACGTCCTAGGGCAATTGTTGCACAGTTCACTGCACCGAGGCTACGTGATAATTTGCCTTTAACAAATCCAATCTTCACTTCGCAACTAGGACGAAGGCAAAGAAAATGGGCTATGCCTTCGTCTGGGTCAGAAAGAGACGCATTTTTGTGCGTAAATCAGCTGATTCCGACTTCATATGGATTAAGGATATTAAGTCTTTAGGTAAAATTATTTAAGCTTAAGCCTGTTTCTTTTTTTATTAATTGAGCATGTTATTAATCTTCAAATATAAAATACGATAATTTAAAATTGTACTATAAAAATGCCCGTGGTTTAAAAACAAAAACTCATAATTTTTATAGACAAGTTTGTTGCAATAATTACGATTTAATAGTTATAGAGGCATCATGGTTGCACTCAAATATATTCTCAGAAGAACTTCTTGATAATAGATATACGGTTTACAGAAAGAATAGGGAGAATTCTGGATTTCATAACAACAAAAAGGAGGGTGGAGGCATCATAGTCGCCGTAAATAAAATAAATTTGATATATATATATATATATGTGTGTATATATGTGTATATATATATATATATGTGTGTGTGTGTGTGTGTGTGTGTGTGTGTGTGTGTGTGTGTGTGTGTGTGTGTGTGTGTGTGTGTGTGTGTGTGTGTGTGTGTGTGTGTGTGTACGCCGTTTATTTGCCTTCTCCGGTTAGTCGCAGCGTGCTTGCACATTTTCTAGACAACTGTAATTCAGTTTCTGAGAATAACTCCTCGATGTTTATAGTAGGTGACTTTAATCTAAGAACATTAATTGTCAAATGGTGCACGATAATCGCAGTAATTATGTGGCACCTGGTTTGGCTAAGAACCTGGTTGACTTTGTAACTTTTGCCAATAAAACAACATCACCAACAATAAAAATGTTATTTTGAAGTTAGTTCTGACCTATATTCAGATGTGCACGGTTTCTAAATCAACCAATGTCCTCAGCAAAATTGATAAACAGCATCCCCCTTTGAATATAGTACTTTCCCTAAATGTAGATAAAAAGCTTTCATATAATACTAACACAAAAAAATTAACTTCTACAAAGCTGACTACGACTCTATCAAAGATTACTTATCTGCACTGGGTTGAAATGGTTAAGGTCTTCTATGATGTTTTATGGGAAGCTGTACGTAAATTTTTGCCTTGGTGTTTTGGGCAAAAAAGGCGTTACCCATCATGGTTTGACCGCAATTTAATTCGTCGACTAAATGAAAAAAATAATCTTCAATGGTGTTACAAGATATACGGAAACCCGCGCGATAAATAAGAACTTGTAAGTAAGCGTTGTAAAGCTTTGGCTATTGACAGGTATAACTTTTACATTAAGAAATTGGAAAAGGATCTTATTTCTAACCCAAAACTCTTCTGGATATTCGTTAAAAGTAAGCGTGGGGGATAAGGGTCCTATCCTTAGGGAGTGATAAGATCCTTACAATATTCGACAGCTCTACCATATGTGGTATCTTATCTAGATAGCTGCCACCTTGACAGATGTCAACAAAATTATTATTAGCGGAAAAATAATTAATAGCGGAAAACGTGTATTTTTCAAATAAATGGATCGAAAATGTAACGGCTGTGATGCCGTAATATACGACATTTCGTACATGGAATGTGCAAGAGATGGATGCAATAAATTGTACCATCTTAAGTGCTTGGCTCTGACGAAGGATAAATACGAAGCGTTTACTGAAGAATACAAGTGCAATTGGAGATGCCCGGAGTGTGTTTGCAGTGCACCGAAACGGGATAATTCGGACACATCAGTTCGAGGTAACCAGAATATAATGAATCAAACTTCTACCCCTTGCTATGTAAACTCAGACCGAGGCAATAGGATGTTTCCAAAAGAAGTTATAGAATTGGATATCAGTAGTAAAATACTGCAAGAATTGCAAGAATTTAGATTTGAAATGAACTTTAAAATAGATGAACAAATAAGGGAGTACAATTTGCTCAAGGACAGGTTTGTTGATACCGAAACAGAATTGCGTAAATTACGAGAAACT